TTGTTGTTGGTCTTGGTCTTGGTCTTGGTCTTGGTCTTGGTCTTGGTGGTTGGTGGTTGGTGGTTGGTGGTTGATGTTTGGTGGTTGGTGTTTGTCGGTAGTTGACTAGTTGAATGTGGGTTGTTGGCTTTGGGTTGCTGCTGCTGCCGCGGCTGCTGCCGCCGCTGCTGCCGCTGCTGCTGCTGCTGTATTTTTGGTAGCAACTACCGATGTAGTAGTAGCAGTGTAGGAGTAATAGCAATGCTACTAGCAGTCATGGTCAGAGTCACAGTTATGTAATACGGTCAGAGACATATTCATAGTCATAGCAATAGCAATAGTGATCTTCATGGGAGTGTAACTGTGAAGGTACAAGTTTTGCTGATTCTGATACTATTCCTAATGCTCGACTGATCACCATACCCTCACGTCAAACGTGACAGGTATTCGGATGCCTTGCAGCTTGTCCGTGCCTTACCCACATGGTGCGCTGCATTTCGGAGTCGAACTTATGCGGGGAGTTGATTGACTCCGAGAGGGCTTGTATGCTGGAAAGCCTGGCACTGGCGCCCGATTCAATTCGGAGATTTACCCGAAGCATGTGCAATATGCCATATTGAGCTGCGCGTATGCCCACATCAGAGCCGACACACTGCTGCTGAACAGGTCTTGCTGCCCGGCAAAGGGCGTGGCCTCGTCGCTTCGCGTTCGGTGGAGGCCGGAGAACTCCTGATGGTGCCCGGGGCCAAGCAGGGCGTTTTTATTCAGTTTAAGGCAATCTCTGACCACCCGAAGTCGCCGCCATCGAGGTCACGGGCCCTCTTCTTGGCCCCAGCAGACCAAATACAGCACTTTATCTGCATAGTTGGCGTGTGTGCTTGGAGTCGGGTTGCTGAGAGATTTGGAAGGCCGGAAGCTTTGGATTTGGGAGACTGGGTGGATTGTTCATAGGACTGTAGAAGAGCAAGAGACGTTTTGACAGAAGCATCTTTGTACGGTGCTTTGTTGTCTGTCCCATGTCTGCTGAGCCCTGCAACTGACTGATGCACGAAGACATCAGATTTGGATTCATATGTCCGTGCAGACGTGTTTAGCCCTGAGCCCTTTAAGCCTGAACCGGCTTCAACGAGACCGATGTCAAGCAGCTGCCTTTCCTCATCCATGAGACAGCTTTGTAGGTGCGAGCGTGATACGAAACTTCCACTGACGGCCGCGCATCAACCTTGAGGCAGTTGGCTGTGAGTTGGATCCTGGAGGCCGCCGCTTCACCAGAACAAATTTCGATATGCTGCCATGCGCATGGAAGAGGTGGCTGAGCTTCTTCTTGATGTGCGCCGTCTACTTGTGTTTGATGCTGCAGGACAGCAGTTGTAGGTCTTTGTCACTCTTTGTCCAAGCCTTACTGCCTGCAGTATGTTCCGCCACGGTTCGGGTAGGCCAGGCTGTATGCCGACTTTGGTGTCACTGAGATGTATTTGGCACATTCTGGCACATTTTCATGTTTTGTAAGTACAGAACTGGTGCAGTTCCAATAGTAGTCAAAATTACCACTCCACGAATCGAATTGGCAGCAAAGGAACCGACTGAACCCACCACGCGCAGGCTACACCTCGGAAGAAGCAGCAGTTCTACTCCTTGTTCGATGGAACCAATGGCGGCTTGCATACTAGACATTTTGGGTGTTCGGGTGTATCAAATCACTGGAACGGCAGGAGTTCAGAGATATCGAAGGTTTCAACAGCTTGACGGTTTTGCACGGTTTGTGGGCTGAATATGTTGCTGCTGCGAAGTGTTGTTCGTCACCTATGTCAGCTATGTACCGATTTTCAGATTCGTGTTGTGGACTCGCCTAGATGCACAAGGGGTCCCCTCGAAGCTCATGCTCGCGATGTAGTGTCGACTTCCTGGCCCTGTATCGGCTTAGATGACGTTCCACGAACACCCCCAGTCTCGCCAGGACATCTTCTGCCCTCTTTGGATCTGTACCGCCCTGGCCGTGATGAAAAGCCAGCACCAGGAGAGCTCTGATTGCAGCTCTCCTTAAGTCTTCCCAGTGAAACTGAAACTCTAAACTGTATCGTTGTAGCGATAGGGTACTCCGATGGGGCCCTAAATACTGCGTAACTCAGTTACCAGATCATCCCTGTAATAGGAATATGTTAGTACCTACTGCGGACCTACCCCGGACTTCTTGTTTGGCACCCGAAGAACTTCTGAAGTTTTGAGTTGGGTGCTAGTACTTAGAGTCTTTATAAGAGTCGAATAAGGTTTTAGGGAACATTGTAGTAATACAAGTATGGCAAGCAGATTGCATTGAGAATTGAGAAGCAAAGTGTGCATGGCATCACGTGTTCACTGTCGGAGAACTTACAGGAGACATGGAGAAGCAGAGCCCCCAAATGTCTTTCAAGAGTAGGTGTATGAACCGCCCTTGAGCCAGAGTCAAAGCCTAAAGAAGAACCAGGAGGTCTTCCGGACCGTTTACATCCAGATCGCATCTACAAGATCCTGGCCCTCAACGGCTTCCAGGTGCGTGAATACCATCCCGGGGCCATGCAAATGAGGTGGCAGTATTGTCATCATGTCTGCTACAAGCCGGTGTTGGTGTTGCTATCGCTGTCCTTGTGGGTTTCAATAGAACGATAAATTTTGCGGCATTCGCGGAGAGAACACTAAAAAAAAAACACTTTGGCAGCTGCTGTGATTAATTTTCAGTTTTGTCGCTCTTACTATGTATGGTGCTTCTGGTTCATAAAGATGTGTGTGTGTGTGTGTCTGTGTGTGCGTGTGTGTGTGTGTGTATGTATGTATGTATATATATATATATGCATAATGTATATATCTACACATGCATACATACATACATACATACCTACTCATCACGATTTTTAGATGACATAGAGTATACTGCCTTGCCGAAACCTCCAAAGCCCGAAATCCAAGGGGTTTAGGGTTGAAAATTCGGAGACCTGCAGGCAGACAAGTTTCATGCCGCAAGCGCCACGGATCCCGGTCGGGCGAAAGAGCTTCTGTACCTCGGCGTTTCTTTGACTTTTGTTTCCTACCCGCGGTCGCAAGTAGTAGAGCCGTATCACGTACAACTCGCGATCCCAATTTCGGGCCATTAAGGGAGGATCTATACAAGATGGGATCCCTAGGGGTGAAATTTGTGCTAAGGAGGCCTAACGAGGAAGAGCCGGGGACCGCAGTCTCTGGGCTGTGGGCTGTGCCGTCCTTGATGAACCATGCAGCTTGGCATTTAAGGGTAGGGGATTTAGGGTTTAGGGTTCAGGCTTTGGGGTTAAGGGCTTTTTTCGGGGTTGAGGGTTGAGAAAGAGTTCGGCTTTAGGCTTCGTGTGTAGAGTTTAGGGTTGAGGGGCACACGAGTATCCCTCCTTCCACAAGCTTCGAGGCATGTGTCCCCTCGACGCTAACGGTGCCCCTCAGCCGCGCGACATTGGCCTTCGTGGCGGCGTCACAGCTGCACACTTTCTGTGGCCTGAAGCGGGAGCGCGAGAGAGACAGAGAGGACGGATGAATGTGGAGAACCCTAAAGTCCCTGAAGCTCTTCCCGAGAGGCCTCCAGGCAAAAAGTCGGACTCTGGCCTGTGCCAAGCACAGATCAAGGAGGCCCGAGATGGCGACTTAAAGGAACCATAGCCACAAAATCGAGGAACCATAGCCACAGCTACCAAGTAGCAGGTGCAACTCTTTGAGGTGCTCAAACCAGGGTATGTAGAGCTCTGCGTCTTCTAAGCTCGGGCCTCCTTAGCAAGGCTCGAGGCCTCACTTGACGCAAGGCTCCTTGACCAAATCTCTTCATTTACTGGATACCGGGGCGACAGTCCTCAAGTCTGAAGTCTGAAGATGTTGCAGATATGAGCCGACGTGCTGTTGCGCCATTGGTGCAGAAGTTGTAAAAAATTGCAAGACGTTGCCGCTGCCAAGGCTCATTCAATCGAACCTGGCGAAGAAATCACCTTCCGCTACTGTACTTGGTCGATGTCAGTTCAGTGGGTCCCATCGCGGCAGCTATCTCAACCTGCTGCCGCAAATATTCTCGGCTTGCACAGAGGGGAAGGTTTTCTCTGAGATGGGGTTGTCAGAGGATCATCAAGACGTGCTAATCGTCCAGGGTTCCTTTCGAAGTGCAGCAAGCCATGTTGCACATACCGTAAACAGAGCGATGCCGGCCCGTCGCTAGTTCGTTAAACCAAACGTGCTGAGCAATCGTGTCTGCTTGAAGTTGGAGTCTATGAACACCCTATTGATGCGACGCCCGCAGCCATTTAGCATCTAGCTGAGCCCGCAGGAGAGCCAGAAGCAAGGAAAGAAGGAGCAGCCCCTTTCCTCCATGTCGCCTGGACCCAGAAATGCCCTGTCCGGGGCCCTTCTGCTGTTGCTGCTCGCCGGCTCCGGCGTGCATGCGAAAGAGGTGGGTCACGGCACGTTTTTCAAAGGTGAACAGAGTGTTTTGGGAGCAGGGGCTCAGGTTCATGGGAGGAATGATGCATTGGTGGCACTTTTAAGACCGAAGAGTCTGCTGGTACAGCACAGTTCAACGTGCAGTTCAGCTGCTCTTAGGGAATACACGATAATATACTATAATATACTATAATATAGTAGAATATACTATAATATAGTATAATATAGTATAATATACTATATTATAGTATAATATACTATAATGTACTATAATATACTATAATATACTATAATATACTATAATATACTATAATATACTATAATATACTGAAATATAGCAAAATATACTATAATACAGTGACAAGCTCAAGGATTCCACCTGGGTGCAGTTGTCATGGTCCATGCCTAGAAAGAGGCACTGGAAGCCCTGTTGCTGTAGGTTAACCTGAATTCTGTGACTTGCTCGCTGGACGAGTACCAAGACCTGTTCCGTCCTCGCCTTGGGCCGATGCATCAGTGTGACGGGAGTATGGGATGAAGCTTCAACACTTTATTAGTACGGGATCAACTATGGGACAAAGGTTTCTTATATCTGTGATCCGTCGGCAGGGCGTCTGCGATTGAGAGTGCTGCGGTTCTTCGCCGAGGTCGTTCGGAAGTCCGCGACTTCCAGCAGAGACTGGAGCAGGACCGATGTATTGCGAGTCCATGATTGCATACAGAACTACGTCCGAAAGAAACGATGTTGTCGTACTCACCTTCATAAGCGTCCTGAACCTACCTTCACATTCGTCCTGAACCCTCAACTCTGAATCCAAACCCTGAGCTCTAGAAACACTCGAAAACCTGAATCACTGGAAGGCTACATCTTTCAGCGCCCCGCCTCCTCTTTTTCCGGCAAATAAGCTATGGCACTCACGCAAAGCGTTTTGAAGCACAAGGCAGTGTGGAAGCAGTTCGGAGGCTCTACTAGCACAGCATCCGAGATTCCTCAAAACAAACACACACACACACACACAGTAGCACTCGGAAGGAGCCCGATCGACAAGGCTACAACGAACCCTAGATGACAGCCCGGATTTACAAGTTTAGGGTGGTGAAACCTTAAAAGAAAATGACACACGACCACTTGCGAAGTGCCTGCATCCCAGCCAGGAGCGACTGGAGCTTCAGAAGGAGCGGGAGGCTCACGCAGGGATGCAACGATCTTAGAGGGATTTATGTAGGGGCTCTTGCGTTTGAGGTTGTTGGAGGTTTCTTGGGGGGGTTGTGAAGTTGCGGTTGCTAGGGGTTTGGATAAGGGGTTTGATCAGTGAGGGTGGACCTTAGAGCTCATTCCGCTGAATTTGCCTTTGGAAGATCTGAAATGGTTTGCATCCGCTTCTTCCGGATGTACACGGACGGTGAGTGCCCCGAGGGACAGCCGGTTGTGCTAGCAAGATTGGATGATCTGGACGATTCTCAAGAAGCACCTAGCCGACAACGTAATATTCCCAGCCCGGACCTATTGTACCCATAGGATTCTTCTTCTGTGGCCATTGAAACCGAAGGCGTTGGAAGCGAAGTTGCAAGAGGCTCGCAGCACGAAGCTTGGGTCATTGACTTGATGCTGCACTGAACCTTTCGGACAATGTCAGTGGCCGATAAATTTCTGAGGTTCCTTCAGCCCTGCATTGGCTCTCTGTCAGTCTTGATAAGGAAGCGTCAGGAAGAGCATCAACGTCTGGAGCGACGGAAGGCCCACGGAAGGGATTGCGACAACCCATCTTGAAGCCCGTGTTGGGGCCTACATCTTGGGTTGACGCTGACCTTGGAAATGAAGTCGTCAGCACAACAAACACTTACATGATCGTTTTTGTTTGCATTGAGGTGCCGGCACCGGCACAGCAAAGCCGTGTAGGACAGTTCGCGGAAGACTCCGTGATTGAGAGCAAAAAATGCGAAAATCAGGATGCTTGCCAGAATGAGCATGCTGCACTCCCGGCAGGAACCGGATCCAACATTTTGGCAGGTGTTGAGGTTTTGGCGCAGGATTGAGGCAAGAGTTCTACAGAACAGAAGAGCTGCTGCCGAAAAGTGCCAGCGTAAGCAGCCATCCCCACGGTGACTGTGACTGAGTCCCATGGGTTCGTGAGCCGTAGTCCCCAACCATGCAACTAAAAATGGGAGGGTTTAGGGTTTCGAATAGTCGTACTGTGGTGCTAAGCGATTCGATATTCCCGCGAGGTTCGGTTATTTCCTAAGCAGTGTGGTAACGCGACGGGCTTCTTGAGTTCAGTGTAAAGACCCGCCGGGACGCGGAGGTGTGTACATTTGGGGTCCTGTCCCGACACTTGCACAACTCCGCTGCGGTCCGGATGCACGTTTCAAGGTAAATTGTGCTTTATTTGGCATGGGTCTCCCGGTGGCCTCCTGGCAGTCTTGCTGGTATCAGTGTGGACTCCTGATGGTCGTTCTGGTCGTGCTTGCGGTGGTGGTCGTCGTGGTGATTTATCATTGTTTGGGGGCAAAAGCTTCGCCTGGCCACATTGATTCCTTAAACCCCTACACCGTTCAATTTCTGTTCGCGGCACAGCTGATTCTGAGTCTCTTGCTTCGCCTTTGCAGTTCGGCACAGGTTCTCCCACAGAATTGGCAGCTCCTGAAGCACAGTGCGGAAGGTGCCGAGCCAAGTCGGCACTGGGTTGCTTTAGATGCCTTAGGCCTTAGATATTAGATATGTCTCTGATCAGTGTATAGAGCTTAGCGCTCAGACAGGTGGTCATCCAGCTACTAAGAGCATCCGCCCAGTGCTGCATCTCCCGGACTCGCCCGGGATGTTCAGATTGATTCGATGTTCTGCTTGTCAGAGAGTCCTTTCAGGCCTGAGGACTGGAGGCTAATTAGGTCTGGTTGTGAGAGAGACGTCGAAGACAGGGAGCACATCCAAGCTGCACTTGGTGTCGGTTTCGGTACCTTTGTACTGACTACAAGGGCAGCAGATGCAGCAACCGTAATTCAAGCTCACCAACGCAAGAAACCGATGCAAAGTGCTGAGGGAACGAAAGATAGGGCTGCAAAATGCAAACATCTACCGGCAACAGTATCCATTAACCGGCTCAGACGAAAGCACTGAGATTGTGTGACAGCTGGTGCTACTACAGCACCACGGATCAATAGTGACTACAGGTTCAAGTCTGAAGAATAGTGTTGTAGCCACAGCAATCGATTCCCATGCATCATGTAGAGGGTAGCCCTCTGCATGAACTCGGATGTTTGGGTTCAGGGTCTACCTTAACCCCCAGGGTCTACCTGAACCCCAAGGAACCTACCTTTTTAAGGACTTACATATAGGAACCAGAACAAGGAACCATTGTTTTGGGTTCTACTGTGGATGATATAAATCCTGCATTGCCTTAAGGACCCTAAACTGTGGGAATTATGGTATACTCCTTATTGTGGGTAATGCAGGATTCAAAAAAATCATCAACCGTAGGGCCTCTAGGGTGGCAGGTCAAAGCATCCTCGGCTACAGAGCGGAGAGGAGCTTGGCCAGTTGCTGGGATCTTTTCCTTTGGAGAGGGCGGGTTTCGGGGTCCATGCGTCGTGTTGTCAGATTTGTCGCTATTTGTGTGGTTTAGGGCTTTTTGGGGTTTAGGGCTTAAAGTTTAGATTTGATATGAGCACTCTCGTGGGTGCGCAACGATGCTGAAGAAAGATCTCCAAGGCTACAACTTCACCCTGGAATTCCGTGTGCTGGAAGACGAATGGACAGTCCCTTGACTGAAGTCGAGTTTCCACGACTCGGTGCAGCCACCTTCCTTGACGGCTTTGGCGCAAGTTGGTTGCAAGTGATCAAATTACCGCAACCGTCGACCACGCTGTCGAGATGGGTCCCTGTCGCACAGCTCCATTCTGTGGCAGTCGCTTGTCCATGGGCACCAGCATGATTTTGGTGCAGACGTCCCATTGCCTTGTAACATGTCGTAGCATCCGAAATTCGCTTCTTGCACATCCACTGACAACGAATTCAAAGTGCTACCCGAGCCTGCTCGCAGCACTTTCAGTTTCTAATGACTCATAGCGAGTTGCGAAAAAAGTCTGCACGGGCATCTTCCATCGAAGGCCATCCGCCTCATCGATGCCCAGACCATCGTCACCGATTCTCGGCGTTGTCTGCTTCTTCAACTTCAACTATATACCCAGCACCAGCAGCAAGTCTTAACCTGTTCTTGCGCCCCAGACCCTAAACTTCACTTTATCTCCTGGTTTCAATTCCTGGCACCTGGATCAGAAACCTACGTTCCAGACCATCTGCACCCCTCACCCCAGATGGAAAGGGCCTCTTTAGGAACCCGGCAGACCTGCTTTACCCAAACCCCAAGTCCAAGGATTGGTCCATCCTGCGCCGACCGGCATCAAACCCGGATGCCACCTGGAGCGGTCCGCGTGGTTAATATCACCTGGGGCCTCTAAAAAATAGAGTATGGGATTGGGGTATATAATATAGTCTAGTCGAAGTGCAGTGGTGTAGTGTAATTTGTTTGGTAATAGTAGAGTAGAGCACAGCTAGGGTCGAATAGAGCA